AAGTGACTTACAGGTTATAATGGCGCGAATAGTAGTTAGACACGGTTCAAATGGCAATAAAACAATAACATTTAAGTATAAATATATGTATACTGTTACGACAGCGGATTCACGTGACCCCGCTAACACCTAAAGAGTATCTAGAACGTTTGTGAAGGCTCGAGTGTTTGCCAGACGCCCTCTATTTTGTATATATATGACCGGCAAGAAGTGACGAAAGAATAATTGCAGGCAGACAGAGAGATATGGAGACAGATAATCGAGTCAAGCCGTAAATAAAGTGCGTGAATCGTTGTGAATTCTAGCTTGTGTTAAGGTAAAGTGATCGTGGAAATTAAGTGTATTGCAAAGTTGAATTGAGAAAAAATAAACTAGTTTTATTTAAGAAAGGACTTGTATCGCTGAAGTTTCTCGTAAAGAATTTCTAAGGAAAATTAACAAACGAACACAGAGACGTAACAAAACATTTCGATACTGTTAAGGTTTGTTTGTTTGAATTTATGCACAAAGCTACACAATGGGCTATCTGTACTCTGCCCACCACGGGTATCAAAACCCGGTTTCTAGCGTTGTAAGTCCGCAGACATACCGCTGTGCCACTGGGGGGCGTTAAGGTGCGTACGTATTTTCTGTGTTGGTGAGACATGATAATAATTAATTATGTGTGATAAGACATTAGGAAGAATTATTATAATGGACTAATATTAATGTCTTACGAAAAGTATAATTAATTATTTCACTAGTGGTTTAAAAAGCATCTTTGCCGCACTTTGGCTTGAAAGCAAAGATTTCAAGTATAATGACGTCACAGCTAGAAGTTGCTACCTCATGTTTATACACTGATCAGTCAAAGAACTTGTATTGATGTTATTAAATTATTGGGTTTGAAATGTGCTGAGCGTATTTTTGTGCTATTTGTAATTTAAGAAAGAAATTGGGTCTTTTTTCGTGAACCTACAAACTACGTATTGCCTTATCATTCAGAAACCTGTATCACTCTTACGTAGTGTTATTACCAGGCGTTTTACTCTTCGTATTCCTATTTTTACATTTTGGTTCGCAACAACACCACCAACCAATTTTTACGTTAATATTTTGTTCGTAAACAGTTTTCTCTGTTTAAAAACTATACTGATGAAATTTTAATATTATAAGATATGTTAGCAAATTAATGATAATTTCGCACTAATTTTCTATTAAAAGTACGAACACGATGTTGACAGACATACAGCATTCTTTTTAGTTTGACCCACTACGTTATTTTTACTGTAGTCGCTAGGATCGCTGTCGACGTTTGTGTACTTTCTTCTTGTAAATATGTTTACCACACTATGCGATAAACTAAGTTAGGGCTATTCACTCTAATTTTTGGACTTTAAGTTGTCCAAAATAGTTTTTGTTAAAATGATTTTTAAACAAAATTATCAAAACCTGTATTTTCTTTAGAAAAGCAACACTTTTTTTCCATCATCCATACTACCTTGATCGTAGGCCTAATTCATTAAGTAATTGAATATATCCAATTATTGCTAATATTATTATTATTTTTTTTTATTGGAATTAAATGAACTTCTAGTTGATTTTGTAATTTCGTGGATGCAAGTTGTTTCAAATTAGATATTTCACTCGTTGAAAATTATTAATAAAAAGTGCAGTCAAAATACAGTTTTTTGGTTAATAATATAATAGTCTATAGTATGTATTCTATAATATATATATAGTTTAGTTTTAAAACTTAAAAATAAAAGTATAATTTGTAAAGTAAACTTCAAATTAACTTTATGTGCGTGGATGAAGGTCAGATTTATGTGCCACAACCTTTTATAGAGTACCAACTATTTGTTTTACCCTTCATTGTTGATTTAGTACTCCAACTCACCTGAGTCTGAATCAGACTGATGTCAGCAATTCACAGACATATCTTGAGCACAAATACTTTTGTAACACATTGATTTTTTTATGAACATTTATGAAACTTAGTTTACTTAACATTTAAAATTAAAATGAAGCTAAAGTTATCAAAATTATACTTTAAAGAGATGAAAATTAAAACAATTATTGAGGCTAGAAATAAAGTGACACATTATAGCAGAATCTTTGAAAAATGTTTCTTGAAATTAAATTCAGAAGGACCTGATATACATTAATGATTGAAGATAAGAACACGATCCAGTTTGCCTGATGAACCCTGATATTGGCCAAAACGATTCATTGGCACTGGATATGGCAGGTGTAGTATTGTTGACATAACGTGGTCTCCTATGCTTTCACTCATGGATTTTTAGAATTTAGAAAATGAATCATTATTTGGAGGTTTATAAAGTGACCCAAGAAGAGTATGGACTTTTGTAAAGGATTAATTAGTTCTTTCATGATAAAACATTAGTGTTAAGCAGAAAGAGGAGTGTGCTTATTGATAAATAAGTTCAACACTTTTATGTATTTCAGGTTTAAGAAAGTGTGAATAAAGAGTTAAAAAAAAATTCGTTTTAACCTTTTTTTTTTTGTAAGTACAAGGATGAGAAAACACAGGTGTAAGATTTGGAAAAGACAGACTGGGCTCTACTTAAGACATATTTATATTTCTAACAGTGGAGGTCAGCACATTACATGAGTTTAAGATGAAAATGGAAGACTTCTTGGTAAATAGAGGGTGTGTTTAAAAATGTTTTAAATTTTCTTAAGGGTGGGCATGTAAGGACAGTCCTGAAAGTCCAAATGGTCCTATGTTGTCTGTAGGTTCTGTTATGTTGTGGATTAGGTTTTACTGTGTTTGTTTACTTCAGTACAGGGCTAATATACAAGGAAACTCTTCCTACTCAGTGATAAAGAAACATGTTTGAATCACTCATTATTCTTCTGAGAGCTCAGTGATGTCACTTCTCATCTATGAGATTTAAGCCTTATATCAAAATTTTGGGGGAAAAATGTTTTCTTATGGGGCAAAACTGTTAATTTTGTGACATCTTGTGGTAAAACAGAAAGCATTTTACCAATAAATTAGTAATTTTCTTCTTGATAGAAAGTTTTAGGGTTAAAAACTTTAAAAAATAAATACTAAAAAATTATATTTTAATAACTTTTATTTGTTTTAGAAAATGAATGCCTTCACTTCAGCAGGATCAGCTGAGATATTAAGATCATCCCAGAAAGACGAACAGTACATCCAGCAACTGCAAGGTGAATTAGCCGAGCTTGTTCAAAGGATAGCAGGTAAAGTAAAAAGCAATGGTATAATTTTCTTCAGGGTTAGATTCCTGCAGGAAAAGCGAGTTGCAAAGCAGTGGTGAAATAGCAGAATTTAAATTGTCTAAAAACTACTATTCAAAACTAGAGCTGAGTGAATAGTTTGACTAGCGAAATTCGCTGATCAATTAATTGTCGGGCTCGTTAGTCGATCACATTCAACTGATCAATTATTCTCATATGAGACTCAAAAACAGTAATAATCAGAAACACCAGTTTTGATTATTTGTTTATTTTTGTGAGTCGTGGCACTAATCAATGAAGCTGAACAATCTTGAATCAATTAAAAAATAATAATGAAAAATCGTAATCATATTTGATTACTTGAATATTTGGGATGACAGAAAACCGTAACGATTTGAAACATTAATTTCGATTAATGAATTATTTTCATGGAATTTATATATTTAACCATAACTTAGATTAATTGATTATATTAGGTGACTAATAATCAGTGCTCATTGGTAATGAATCGTTCTCGGTTAATTGCCCAGCATTATAAATAACAGTGCAAATAGGAGTATGAAAAATGGTATTTCCTCAAACAATTGTGAGTGGGCAGCATCCAACCTTTTGTTTAATAATTGTGTTATTTTCTTAAGCTTTTAGCTAGAAATACTGAAATAAAATTTGTTCTAAGGATCTATGAGTTAAAGTGCAGTTTTGTTGAAAATAAGTTTTACCTAAAGCCTGAAAAGTGAGCCACACAGTTGGTGCAAAATAAATTAAACAGCTTGGAGTTGGAGGACAAAAGGAATAATACACCAACTACTATGGATTTAAGGCTTTACCTTCAGACTTGTTTAGAGCTGGGCAATTAATGGAACATGATCCATTACCTACAAGCATTTATTAGTTGAAAATACAATAAAATTTATTGATACAAAAATAATCAACTAACCAGAATTGGCGTGTTCAATTTTTCTAATCGTCTTAGTAATCAAAATGTTACCACTGTTATTCCTCGTTGAAGTTAATCCTTTGTACTAAGAACTTGTTTGAAGATCCTGAAACTTGAAGATGTAGATGTGGAAATTCCCAGTTTGATGAAGAAAGACTCTTCCAATATTCTTAATAGTTCACTGTCTTGTTTTGTTGTTTTAATAAATGCTTTCATGCCGATTATTTAAGTTCTTTGTATAAAAGAAAATGTTCTTATCTTGTTTTTGAAAAAGAGCCCTCATCCCACTATGTAGTGCTGGTAATGGTGTAAGTATGCCCCTGCAGTGTGTGTGGGGGGGGGGTTCTTCAAGTCAAAAGGAGGCCCAAAGAGTAAGAAATGGTGACAAAGGGGAGAGACTAAAGGAGGGGGTTGTATTATTCTGGTGTAGTACAGATATTTAGAGAGAGGACAGAGACAGTGCCTCGGTTAGTGGTCTGTACTATAATAGTGGAAGTACAACATAAATCTGATATACTCGTAATTCGAAAATACAAACTAGATGCAATTTCAAGTTTGGTTCAATTTGAATTTTCAGTTATGTTAATGATATCAATCAGCCAGAATTGTAACTACAGTTATAGGGAAGTAAATGTAGCAAGCCCAGTTACTTTTTGTGCAGGAGGGCCCACCTTTTGTTATGCCACTGAGTGCTGCCTGTGCTCCTGAACTACTTGAAAAGCACATTGTTTGTGATCTATTAAACTTTGTTGCACTGACAGTTTTGAATCATGTTCTGGTTCAACAGTGAAGTAAAAAAATATTGTTTGTTATTCAAATATTATTTTTAAATGTGACCTCATTTGGTAAAGGGGAATTAAACATTTACTATACTTGTCAGTATATCAGGTTTTATGTTAAACTTGTGCATGCTGTGGGTTTTAATATAAAAATGTAGAGTATATTAGAGTAGCCCATGAGCTGGCAGTAGGTGGTGTTGATTAGCTGCATTTCCTCTAGTCTGTTGCTTCGAAATTAGGAATAGCTGGTGCAGATAACCCTGGAGTAGCTATTCACGAAAATTCAACAAACATACAAAATTGCAGAGAAATTTAAACTATAAAACTTTAAAGTAACACTTCTTGGACAGTGTCATACTTTTGTTTTTGTAATTAAAGGAATTTCCAATTGGTTAAAATGGAGAAAGGAGCTAGATGTGTTGTCAACTTTGACCTACTTTGGAATCACAACACTGGCTGGTAAGTTTAATCTAACTGTTCATTTAGTGAATATGTAATATCTGTGTTAATTTGGGTATTTGTTTACATGCTGATACTGTGCCTACAGTTGACAATGAAAACATTATATTACACCTCAAGATCTATGTATGTAGGTGTTAAATTATATACGTGTATATAAAATGTATTTATCTCGTAATTGGAGAATATCATCTACAAAAAGCTATTTTTTCAGTAGAAATTATCTAAATTAATTTTTATTATGATGAACCAAGTTAATTACATTTCAAACTTTTACTACTGCACGAGTTTTTTCAGAGTAACCTAGCTACTTATTTCTAAAAGATTTTATTTGCCTGAAAAGAATACTTGTTAACCCTCTGACATTGAGTTGGGTCAATGTGAGTATGTCTTGGCCTTTTACAGAGTTACATTCAAAACTTAATTAACTTTATTATCAATATATATTAATAAACTGAGCATGAAAGTTAGTTTATTATTCAAATTTTAAGTTTTAATTTTGAAAAGGAAATATTTAAATAAATTTTCAGTTTGCACCGTTCTGTATTACATGATATTTCTTGGCTCCAAATTGCCCATTTTATTACATGTTCTTTCTACCACTGTATGTGGTTCTCTGATTTTGTTCTTTTTTTCAGGACTCCAGACCTTAGGTGAAGAGTATGTTCATATAGTTCAGGTTGATGGAAGTCTGAGAAGAATTCCATCCTGGTGGGTAAGTGTATTACAACAGAAGTTATATACTTATCTTTTATTTATTCCTTTCTTTTTCCTTCTGTGTATATTTATGTTTTATATTATAGTTTTCGTTATAAGATTGAGTCACGAGACTAATGAAGTGCTTTATAAGTCCTATTCTGTGGGTGCTCCAGGACTTTTTTTTTTTTTAAGTAAATTTTATTTTTTTAGAATCGCAGGCTTCAGATTTTTGGGCTTGTTTTATTCTGAAGTTGCTTATTTGGACTTTTTTGTAGTAGCTGACTTCAATACACAGTTAATTAGTAGTAGGAGTGGTTTCAATGAATAGGTTGTACATCATTACAACTTTAGAATCACCTTATCCCCACTCCTCTTCCGTTGAATTCACTTACAATTGGGAACTTTCCGACCCACCATTTTCAGGGTAAGCCATAAAGAACAGTTTTAAAAGTTAGTGCTGTTTGTTTTGAATGGCAGTGCTGCTTATTTTTCTCTCGAGACTTTGCAACACTGGTGACAATATCTCGACATTTTGAAGGGATATATTTGGAGGAGTGATACCTCAGAAGTTTCAAGCTTCTTTATCACAAAACGTTGCTAAAGATGTTAACGAAAAAAAAAAGTGCATCAAATCACACATATGTTAACCAACATTCGATGAATAAACAGTTTGAATTAAAGGACAATATTTAATATTTTATGTGAAGAACCTGGTAAATGAACCTGGGACTTCTGGTAAGCAAGTCTAGTGCTCTACCACTGAGCTATCAAAGAGTACAAACCATCTTTATTACTTTCTACATATAAGGCTTCTAGTAATGATCACGACACTATGTGAATTAGTGATCAAATGAAGGTAAATTTTTCAAGGATAGAAAAAAAAACTAATGTAAGTTGTTTTTTTCCATATTTTGTAATATTAAAATAGTGTATATGACCTGATAACAATGTAATAATTAGTTAACTTATTGTTTGTCAGATTTTCTTTTGAATATGTATGTTTCATGATTAATATTTTTTCAAAACTTGTTTTTTTTTAATCTTTTATAGCAGATGTATATTTTAGTTTTAGAATATTTTTTTTCTATCAGCTTCTATATAATATTTTTCAATGAAAATATAATGCATTATGGAGGTATCTATTCTCAGATTTTCAAGAATGTAGCCTGGTCTTAAATATAGAAGTCTCCTGAAATATATGCTTTTCAAAGAATATGCCTATGAAATTTACACTTTTATGGAGATATGCTTCCAAGACTTGCACTTTGATAGAGCTGTGTAGCTGTTCTAATATGTCTTACAAGTATTTCATGTTGAAATTTCTAATTTTCTATTATTACTTTTCGTGGGTCTTATTTCTTACACAAGATAATAACGTATGTAAGAAAAATAAACTTTAATTTTTGTTTTGTATTTATAGCAACTCGTGATATTTAAAACAATCGGGTATGATCCTACTATGAATTAGGTATTGTCTGTTTTACTTATTTATGTATATATAAAGTAGGGTTGTCATACTGTCTTATTGCGAGGAACAGGTTGAGCCAGTTTTGGTGAAATGTTCATGAGGAACTTGGGTGTACAACCCAAAGTTCAAATTGAACATATGAGTTGTGTTTGACAACCACTGGTGACTGTTTCAATCTTACTGTCAAGGTAATACTAACAAAAGTAATTATACTTATATAGTACAGATTTCTTTGTCATCAAAAGAAAAATTGAAATATCCTGCCTAAATTAATTTAGGTTACTGTATGGTGAGTTAAAAAAGGACTCAAAAACCCTATAGATGTTAAAATGTTTGATGTGTGTGTCATAGTTACCTTTGCATTAGACAAACAATTTGTGTGCTATGGTTCAAAATATTGGAAGTGGGTGGCCCACTCCCACTTAGAGCATTAGGTTTTAAGTCTGGTAGTTTTTAGGTACCTTAGTTACTTGATAATTATAAAATACCGGCAATTTTCATTTTAGGGTGCATTGCTTATAAATATTTGGATTAAAAAAGTTTTGTGAACTTTTAAGAAAAGAAAAGATTTTGTTTCTTACAGAGACGAGCATTATCTGTTCTGTTGCACTCCTCGAGTAACTATCTACTACAAGCTTCCCTCGTGGTTCTGGAGAGGACAACAAGTGAATCCTGCCTTCAACAGAACATGGTTTCCTTTATCCCTTACGTTCGTCAATTCCTCACTTTTATACACCGTAGTCATCTTGTTCTGTTTTATTTCTTTGGAACATTTTATCATCTTTCGAAACGAATCACTGGAATCAATTATGTACGTCTGAAGCAAGCAAAACCAGTTTTATTTTCTTATTTTACATTATACTGTCATTATGATACATGTCTGAAATAGAACTGTACTTTTATATTATTAGGCCTAAGAAGCCTTTATGCAAAAAATAGTATATATATATATATATATATA